CAGAATTCTACACCCTAATAGGCAGGTGCTAAAACGTGGGGATCACTGGGGGTTCCAGGCTTCATATTGCCCTGTGATGCAAAGTTCAGTGACACCGAGGTTTGAAGACTTCGTAGTAAGATACTTCTCTAGTTCTAGATACTCCTAAACCCGTAAGCCCAAAACCAAAAACCCTAAACCCATCAACCCAAAACCCAAAACTAAAAACCCGAAGCCCAAAGCCAAAAAACCCTAAACCCAAAACAATCACCGAAGCCCTAAAAAAGGGGGCCCAGGAAAAAGACCCAAGCCAGGTACGCGCCAAGGCAAGGAGGCCAAGGGAAAGCTCCAGATAGAGCCGGAGCTCAGCCCAAAACGCCTCCGATGGACAAGGACTCGCCGAAAGAAGGCAGAAAGGCCGAAAAATCTCTAAATTCGAAGGTGCCCCCGAAAGTCTATTAACCCGTATTAGCATCCTTCAGCCCTCCACCCTGAAGAACTTGCACCCTAAACTCCGTATAGACCCTCTCCATCGTTTGCGAATCCTCAGAGCGGACGTCGGAGGATGCCGGGACCGTCCGAGATCCGAACGCTCAGATGCCGTGCACCTGGCACCTTTGCTTTGCTTCTTCACCGGTTTTGCATCTACCCTAAACTACCAAACCCCACCTTTTTGTAGGTTCTTAATATCAACCCTACTATGAACTTTATAGGAGCCCTGCAAAAAAAGTAGGTTTTGGTAGGTTAAGGTAGGGCCTAGGGAGCATGGAGGGGTTTAGGGAGTTTTGATCCCTGAACCCTTGCAAGGTTTGGGATTATCAGGCTGCGACGCGAAGGCCGTACCCCTTACTTTGGACGCCTTTATTGGGATCGCGAGTTTCAGGCACTAAAAGACCCTACTAGCAGGATACGTATTATTTCAAGGACTCACATATATGGGACCCCTCGTTTTCAGAAACTCGCGTATGATGCCTTGCCCTATAAGCCACAAACTCTTTACCCCTTACAGCAACGCTAAATCCTCCCCCGCTCGTCCGGTGGACACGATCCTCGTGGAAGCTCGACGAGACTACCCGAACCTTAAACCGAACTGGGGAGACTGTACTTAGCCCTTAACCCGAAGAAAGCCACTCCCTAGTCGAATCTCCAAGAGACCACCCCTAGCCCTGAACCGTATGAGATACCCTTAACTCCCAAGTCCAAGCACTAACAGCCCTAAACCACACTCTGCAAACACTCTCCGTTTTCCCTAAACCCTAAACCCTAAACCCTAAACCCTAAACACTGACATGCCATGACTTGGCGCCAGGCACCGCATCCAGACACCGCAGAGATCTGCAGGGGGCCTGATGTCATTTGAACAGGGTTGGGCGGGTTTAGGGTTTAGGGTTTAGGGTTTAGGGCTTAGGCGGGCTTACCCATAGGCCCCATAGTAGTTCCTTTTTGGGGTTACCTTATAGGATTCTATATATGGACCCCCAAAAGGAACTACTATGGGGCCTATGGGTAACCATGAGTATACTAAGGAGCCCTGACGAATGATCGTACTACTGATTCGTCAGCGTGGCTTAGAGGGGCTTCGCATGGAGGACAAGGCGAATTGGGCATCGGGCATAGGGGTTTAAGCCTCTGGAGGTTTAGGATCTAGCGGTGTTTACATTTCTCGCCGTTGCTTTTTATCAGTTTGTTCAAAGCCGTGCTCCAACTATGAGTCTAGTCATCCAGGTCCTAGGTCACGAAGACCCAGAAAAATTCCACAGATGTGTCGACGTGATACATCCATGCTGTCAAGCTCGTCAAGTTCTGATTCAAGCACTTGTCCCGAAAAAGAGGAAAGTCAGCAAGAGTCATCCTGGTGCCTGAAAATCTCTTGCTTACGGATAGACAGAGGTGCTCAGAAAGAGCCTCCTGGGCGTGCAAAACAAGCGCGCCGCTCCAAGTTCGAGACTTCAGAGCCGGGTAACCCGCCTTACCCGAGCGCCAGCCTGAATCACCCGAGGAAACATGTCTTTCCAAGTCTCCCAAGAGCGGGACAAGCCGGTGGAAACCTTTGAGGCAGCTTTCCTCGCAGATTCCTTGCGCAGATCCTCTCACGTCTACGCTGTGTCCCACGATGCTTTTTGTGTTCCCTGCAAATTTGACACCTTGCCGCAGCATGCGATCGACTCGTGGAAGAGAGCGGGCGATAACCTGTGGTACCTGCCTGAGCATGCTGTGTCGCCACTGCCGTGACTGCCGAGACGGAGAGTAGATAAGGAGTTACACCGGGTCCTTGGTAATGAGAATCGTTAAAACTTCTGTCTTTAGGATTAAGTTTTGGGATTATTCCGGGCACACTCCACCGAGCGTGGAACTAGTGCGACTTTCTCATCAGAGGACATATGCTCAGGAACAGGTATCTATATTGAAGGCCGAAGCGAAAATCTAGCATTAAGCGAAGTAAACTCGCCAAAGCTTACTGTAGACTTGGTAATGCAAGATCTCGCAACTCGAAGTTGAACTTGACCGACTTCCTCACGGCTTGCCGAGAGTCCACATATCACATCAAGGTACCCCCAGCCAGGATCCACGGTGGCGTGCAGCGGCTGCGACAAGCCTGGCACCCGGTAGAAACCGCTCTGAACTTATGTTGGAGTGCATCCTTCTGATCCTTGCTCAGGCCGTTCCCGCAGCAATTGGGCATGCTTCAGGCCAGACAGCTGAAAAAACGTGATCAGCATGCGAACCACTTTGCCCCGAATCGACATATTTGGCACCTGGGAGGGCTTTCCGGACCGATCCCAGTTTGCGCAGATGTTGCGGAGAGCTCAGGGCAGTGGAGTTCTGGAAGTAAGGTATGCAACGTGTCGCTTCTATCCAACGATAGGGGGCTTTGATGTTGAAGGTGAGGCCTAAACCCTAAACCCTAAACCCTAAACCCTAAACCCTAATTGTAGCTGAGGTTCTTCTGCCAACCCTGCGGCCAGGACCCGGAAATAGTAGCAAGGGCCCTGGCCGAGTTGATGAGCTGATGGCAGTGCGATTCGGGGGTTTCCGAAAATAGGGGACCCTAATGTAGTACTTTAAATAGTAGGATCCGTATTATAAGGACCCCAAAATAAGGTACCCCTAATTTTCGGAAAGTCCCATTCGGGGAACTGCAACAAGCTGTGGGGCAAACAGCTCCGGTTCAAGCTGCTGCAGCGGCTAGCAGCTTGATTCCTGCTCGTGCGTGACGGGAAGCAAAAAGACCACTTGGCAGATCCTGTGTGGAGTCGCCTGAGTCGGTTTAGGGTTTAGGGTTTAGAGTTTAGGATCCCACCCCGAAGGAACTAAAAATGCATTCAAGCTCAGAGTTACTCCTAGGGTCGGACACAATCGTTCCAGTCATTTCGAGTTATTGAACGAGAAAGTGGAAGCAACGCCGCGACTTCTATCAACAGTCTGAGACTGGAGTGCTTTATGAAGAGAGACTTTGTTCTAGCTTCAGCGTCTATGCTGAACATATCTTCATTTAGATCTGGGAGTTGATAGCAAACTGTGATGGTAATCAGAGGTCTTGCCGGAGTCGTCGATGTCGTCGGTTAGCATGAGGGTAAGGGATGTTAGAAATACGGCAGGCAGATGCCGAATGTTGAGACTTAGAAAGGCTCAGTCGATTTAGTCTTAAGTTGTCACAACCACTTTTATGCAAAGCATCCATTCATCTAGATGCCTCTTAGAACTCTGCTGACACAAGACTTCAGCCATGACCCTTGTATGACAGACGAGCACCTAACTAGAATATCGCACGCTGGGCCACTACACTACATGTTTCCTTGCGGTGTGTAAGCAGGTTCTTCGATAAGGAGTCGTGGGAAGAGCCATGAGCCCTGCAGATGCTCAAAAGACCTCTAATCACGCCAATACGAAGCTCTGAGCCCGAAGCCCCAGACCCACGTAAAGCAATGTCCATAGTAATGCAGCACAACTTCAGCATGCTCAGAATAGAAAAGAACACTTTTAGAAGCCTAATCTTGAGCTCAAGACGTTCCAAAGTCGGAAGCATCGATCGCATACGAGCACATCGCAGCAATGCCAGTTCAGCACAAGTTCCGCGGCGAGAAGGCCACGACACGTGTCTCTCCGCTTGCCAGGGTTTGGGTTTGGGGCTTCAGCAGCGTGCAATGCTTCAGCTCATGGCTGTACCTCTCGCAGGCCTTCCGGAGCCTGCTAAATCTCACGACTCAGATCTGATGCACTGGTTCTCTTTGCCAGAGGCCCCCCCTTCTTGCCTCCTGTCTTTCCCACCGCCTGTGCTTCCCCCTTTTGTGAAGATCCTGCCCCACTTGCACAACTTGTGCCATGTCGACAGGGCAGGGCGAAGGGGTGGCTCCCTTACAGGCCATGAAGGGAAGAGTGTCGGTGCGCATCAGCACCCGTAGCCCTGCAATAGGTATTTGGGCTTCTCAGGATCCATGGCTCAGAATCGACCGGCTTGGGAGGCGTGAACGGCGGACCTTTGACCCTGAGAAACCCAGGCCCTTGAATCCCAAAACTGAACCGCGAAACCAAATCCGCAATCCTGTGCCGCCGAACCGTCGTGCCTTCACCTACATGTAGCTATCGATTCCCACGCCAGGTTGTCGTGCCTTCTGCAACAACTGAGCGCTGACACGCGAGAGCCATGTACCTTGGGGAGAAAATGGACCATGCCGTGTTGTAAGTTATTCGGCAAAGCACATGTGTTAATGGCAAGGATCACCCCGACATATTCAGCTTGGTTTCGTGATCTCGTCCATGTCAGATCATGTCGGATTGGGTCGGCCCACATGTACTTCCGAAATCCAATGTGCCCACAACCGTTGCGAAGCCTGGTTTGCTCATGGCCAGTGCACAGGATGTAGTTGTAGTGATGACCAAGTTGCAAGATGCATGCAGGCACGGAAGCCAAAGCAGACACAATCCCGCAGCTTGCTGGCCATTGTCAACCCGAACAGCTGTGTGGCCTTCCGTGACATATAGTAGTTCGTTTGGCCCTGGTAGCATCGCATGTCGGAGCCATGGAGGCGAATCGCAACGCATCCGCACGCAGGTGCGCTTGGTTGATACACGTGGGCCATAGTCCTTGAACCCCGGAACACCACGAAACGTCTCTGCCGCAACAGGCTCCCTTGCATCGACATTGGGGGCCTGGGTGTCGATGATGACGACCTGGCAATGGATCGAGTGGTGCAACAGCCGAGCTCTCACGATCAGCTCTCTTCTGGCGTGTTCATCTCATGAAAGAACGCTAAACCCCAAACCCTAAACAGTCTCCAGTCGAGGCACGACGTCTCTGGCTTGTGCTTGGCCTCCTCCACAGCTCCCTCTCATCGTCGCCTCCTGAGCTCAAGATCTGCATCTTGCCAGTGCTCACACTAAGCCACTAAGCCTAGTACCCAGATTCTGGCTTTGATTACAGCGATTTCTCAATTTCGTATCTCTGCTGATGGGGCATGAAGGCTTCAACCGCTCGTACAATGCGGCCGCAAGCAGCTGGGCACCTAGCAGACTGTCTACAGGTTTTCTACGCATTCAGACACACATTCATGGACGAACATATAGATTGGGGATAAACCGTACAGGTAGGCGCGAAAAGCTTCGCAGGTGAGCGCAAGCAGTTCGGCTATGATGGCTCGGACGAGGAAGAGGTTGGCCTGGACGAAATCGCAAACCTTCCGCCGTAACCTCGAAACGCAACCTTCCGGATTGATTTGGGGCTTTAAGGGTTTACGTTTAGGGATGTTTAGGGTTTAGGCTTCACGGCTGATACGCTCAGGAACGAAGTCTTGAACCTTTGTTTTGCAGGAATAACTAGTTCAAGATTCACATCATAATATTCCGTATTTTTCTTCAATATACATATTTAAATAATACTCATTGAGGGAGTAAGGCTCCTATCTTAGATTAACGTCCCATCTCTTGGGAGTCCCATACTCATTACCTGTTTTAATGACATCTTCAGTTCCAAGTCCAGATCGCAGGAAGAGCCGGCAGAGCCTCCGCCGGAAGGCTACGTTTGCCACAGGCCGCCGGATGATGCACATCTGTGTATCTGCATATGGGGGGTTGTCAAAATTATGGTCCCTTTTGGGGTACCCTAAATAATAGGTGCCGTATTATAATAAGGACCCAAAAAGGAAACATAATTTTGACAACCACCCATATGTGTGCATGTATATGTGCACACGTATATAAGCTGCATGTAATGCGTCTTGTATATGTTATGCAACATGCTTGTGCGTCGTATATCTAAATCGATTTATACATATAGCCATGGTTGTATTATACGCTTATGCGCAGTATGTTGCATATAATGTATAACGGGTAATACATAGCAGATAGTTCGTAGATTCAAGAAACAGCTCTTAGAAACAAACCATATAATATTATACATATGTGGTTACTGACTGTCTGCATGCTTGTATGTACGTATGTATGTGTTTTAGTGAGATACCATGCCATACAATATAATACACAATGTATCTTGTTGACGGTATCGCCGCGAAGTTCATGCTCAACCGAGCCCGGTGTGTACGTTTGGTGCTGCCGCTCAAGTGACTCGGAAGAGCATCCTTTCTGCCCCACCTTGCAAACGAGGTGTGGCTTGACAGGATCCCATTGGGTATGGGCGACTCGGCAGCAGTGCCGGAAGCGCAACCCAAAAGCTTCAGCGCAGAAGTTTGCCAAGGAGTGCCCAACCAATGAGGATCCCGAGCATGTCAAAAAGGCCAGAGGCTGAGATTGCATCGCTCAGTGGGCATGGGCCGTTAGGGGTTGCATACGGGATGGTTGCCTTCAAATTACCTTGATATCCTAAGGTCCGACCTGCCAAAGGCATTCCTCGGAAATGGCTTCGGAAGGTGGGACGACGCTTCGCAATGCTATCATTGTTCAGGATGCTACATCTGTGCTTTCAGAGGCTGCCTAACCCCAGAGAGCCCAACGGGCGAAGCAGCACCGCAGAAAAGAAAATCATATCAAACCGAAACATGGCATGAGGCGTATTGTTGGCGATTAAAACTTGCGGGATGGGGGAATGTCGACTTGGCTAATTACCCTGTGAGAAAGAGATGTATAAGAGTGCCGTCTGACAGGTAACGAGTGTCGAGTGTGAGATTGAGACGACACTCTGCATAGTGAAAGATCTTGCTGAGGTTGACAAGAAGCATCATCGGCACGAACTTTATGTAACAGTTGTCTACATCGCCGCAGGCATTTGGCTGAGTGAAGTCAAGTTTGTTCTTGTCAGGAACCAAGTCCTCCAAAGGCCCAGGTGATCTTTCCGTTACTTAAAGAGGGTTTAGGGTTTAGGGTTTAGGGGAGCTGATCCTTATCTCACCGCGTAGTTCGATCCCTCAACGCTAAAAATCTGAATCTGTGCTGCAGGTGACGCTCGAAGAAGCACAGGAGAAGAGTGCAGGTGGGGTCACACTCGTAGTGCCTGGGCCCACTCCTCAGTGTGTACGGATGTTTAGGGTTTTAGCTGAATGCTAATTTCAAGGGATTCGATATCGGAGCCTGAGATATTGGTAGTAGTGGCCGCTTGTGGTTCGTAGTTGCTATGTATTTTCCCCAAAGCCCAATCTAATATGGGTTTAGGGCTTCAGGGTTTGGAGTTTCAGATGTTTGGGTCGAGGGTATGAAGAACTTTTTGGAATCAAGGTCTCTTACTGCTGCAGCATGAAGGGTCCCGAGATTAAAGGTTTGGGGCTGAGGGTTCAGGGTACTCGACGCATGCTACCGGAGTGCGATGAGGGTAGTGTTTCTGAGGAAACTATACGTCAATAAGGGAACCATACGGCGATACGGGTACTATCCGGGTACTTAGGTGTCTGAAAGGTTTTCGGTCCAGTGATCGTAGGCCTGTGCAACATAAAGGCGCTAAATGGCTTATCCTTCAGGAGCTTGGGCGAACTTGCAGGAAGGGGCCACTTGTTGTAGGCAAGTCCCGGACAAGTAAATTGCAGCAGTACCACTACAAGAGCAAGAGCATGCCATCCGGTGGTCTGGAAGACCTTCCTCGTTCCCCAGTAGTCGTCTCGCTCACAACATGTCGTAAGAACCCTAAACCTGTGAACCCCCAAGCCCCTAAACCCCCAAACCTGAAGCCCCTAAACCCCCAAATCCCAGACCCTAAGGTACAGTGGCCACTATATCTATGACCACGAAGCCTCGGCTGAAGAGAAGAAGCGCATCGTGGGCGACACGGTGCAAGAGAAGGCTGGGCTGCTTCAGGTCCGATGGATTGGTCATACCATCCTGCATAGTCCCTGTATACTCTTGCCCCAAAACCATATTCTAGTTCATGATAATGTGGCCCCTATACATGTCGTATTAAGCCCCAAAACCATATTCTAGTTCATGATAATGTGGCCCCTATACATGTCCTATTGGCTGTGGGACCTCGGTTAGCGCCCTGCTTGACCTCCGCGAGGTCACCATAGCGTTCACGCAAGGTGCCCGCCGGGTGGAGGCCTACGAGACACGAAGCCTGAGTTCGAACTTTGCATCTCATGATGAGTGTTTTGACACTGTCAGTATTGCGATTATCACATCTTGTTCTCATTGTTAGTCTTGTTGTTATGGTCATCGCCTCAAGCATAAGGGCAACTGCAGTTTCGCAAGCTTGAACATTCGACTCGTCATGCCATTCTTGGTGGCCTGAAGCCCGGCTTCTTCGAAGTGAGATGCTGGATAGTACCTGTCCCTGATTGTGCAGGGTTATAGGGGTTTGCGATTTGGCATGTCGTCCTTCTTTCTATGGTGTCCTATATCCTTACGCAGAAATCCACTGCAGAATGTGCACGGGAGCTTGATGTGGCAGGAGTCGCTGAAGTGCCCCCTGTGCAATCAGATGTTTCGGCAGGCCTGGGACTGTCAGACCAAGGGAGCTACAGTCAATCTTGCGCGCCACAGAGCCTTATACTGGGTTTTGGGCCTCATTCTAGGTAAGGGTTCAGGGTTTAGGCATAATGGCCTTCTGGAAGAGGCTCGGTTCTTTTGAAATATTGACCGTAGCTCATTTGTTTCGTTCGATGTTGATTTGACTTGTCGCAGGCCGTCTTGGCTCCTTGTTGCGGAGCGACGTTCTGATCCTTGGCGCTACAAGTTCAAGCTATGGCTAAATCCTACACCCTTAAGCTATGCTACGTCCTGTAAGCTGAAATCCCTCGAAAGCAGGATGGTGCGAAACAGTCCTACGATCTGCATTGCACAGAAACCTGAGGCAGCGACTGTGCCATTGATCGACTAGCGCACTCGACGACAGAAAGCAGCAACTGTCCGGGTTGCGGTAAGGAGGCCGGGATGCAGTTTAGTGGAACATGCTGGTTTGAGTCCAGCACAAGACATTCAAGCTTCTCGGTGTTCTGCACCAGGAACAGAGTGCCTCGTGATCGCAGTGCGTTTTGCTTCACCCTCGTTCTGCAAAGGTGCTCGTTCATGAGCTGATCCCCAATGAGGACATTCGCAAACAAGTGGAGCAGGCGACGAGATGCGACGAGATGCGACGTGACGTCCCTTGCTTTGCAGCTCCGGAATCTGCCAGGTCACCAAGGCATCCAAAGCCACTGCGTTAGCAGCGCAGAAGGAGCCTCAAAAGCCTCAGAGCGGCTTCTCCATGACGGCAGCACTCAAGGAGCTGGCCTTCTTTGATTTTGGGAGCTTTCAGGTTCACATTTATCTTCGGTCTCTACCCACCGCAGGACCGCGTCAATCGACCGCGCAAGCACGCCGAAGAAATCGCTGCAGGCAGACGGGTGCATTTCATACACTCTTCTGTGTCGCGTAGTGCAATCTCTGCAGGTGGGGATCAGCCACTGGCATTGACTGATGGTGACCAAGCTGAAAGGTTTGCAAGAGAGCGAGGGTGTGCTTTTTTCTTGAAGCCCTCAGGGAGTGCCAGCCAGCCGCCTGCACAGCCGCCACCGCCGAACTGGCAGCCGCTCTTCGCTTAGCCTTGTCGATGCCTTGTGTAGAACCAACGACTCTGAAAAGTGAGCTTGGAAGGCTGGCGTTTGGACCGCTTCTCACGCCTGCCCACCCTGTTTAGGGACGGTTTTGGCTGCCTTTGGCTGGGGTGCGCGCGAGAACAGAGTCCTGAATGTCAGGCCGGAGCAGTTCGCACGCTGGCAACAAACTCTACGTAGTAGCCTTATGGGCAGTGGACGGCGGGCAGCAGTACATGACCACGGATCAGTGCATGCCTGGGAATGACACCAAAGAAGTCTTCAGAAGTGGAACATAGTGCTGAAATTCATAAGAAAGTTTGCTAAGGCACTGGAGACTGGACGAATGCCAAGGCTGTGCCAGTTGAAGGTTTTTTCTGGCGTCTCAGCATGCGGGACCGCAGAACATCCTCAGCTCAAACACAGTACGCCGGAAACCTACAAACCGCGACTCTCACTCGTATGAAACCGTAGGATGTTACTTGTACCGACTGTTCTGCAACGATCGTGAAGACAAGACCTCGCCCTGACTGCAGTGGTGGCTGGGGGTTCAGGGTTTCAGGTCTGGGAAAAATCGATATAACTTGGGGGTCGGGAGTTTAATGATGGCATCTACCGTGGGTAGCACGGGCCTTGCACACCATTACCTCAATATGGGGGTTTCCGCAAATAGGGGACCCTAATATAGTACCCCAAATAATAGGATCCTTATTAGAAGGACTCCAAAATAAGGTACCCCTAATTTTCGGAAACTCCCATGTGGCTAGATATCCAAGACCTGGTCAGGCTGGAGGGGCAACAAGCATGCAAAAAGAAGCACGAGAGTCATTGCAAGAAGTACTGAGACCCTTAAAACCCCCAACCGAAACTCTCACATCCTATATTCTCTGCTGTGCCCCTAAACCCGAAACCCTAAACCCTAAACCCAAACCCTGAACCCTAACCGCAGCCCACTCCAATCCAAAACCATCATTGACCCCAAGCCCAAGAAAGCAGAGGCCCAGTTTGAAGACTGGCAGCGCAGGGTGAAGGCAGCCGCGTCGTCGGAGCCTCGATACTGGGGCGGTGTTTATTGGGGAGCCTAAATTCTAAACAACGGAGCACGGCAGTGCAGAAGAGAGTTGAAAAGAACAGCAGAGCCTGCCTAGCATGGCAAAGAAAACTCAGAATCATGCTACCAAAATTGTGGTATTTCTCTTGAAACCCGTGGAACGATGCCTGCGATGCAATTGGGCTGCCGATTGGGGTTCGCATTCCTGTGCTTGCCGCTCATGAGGCCCTTTGGCCGGACTCCTCCGCTGGGTGCATGATGCGGAAAATGGGGGCTTCACGGCACACCCACAACTCATGGTCCGAATTATTTAGGTAATGAATGTATTTATCAAATATAATATTTTTTCCCCTTTGATCTATAAAAATTGGATTTAATTCTGATTTCTATCGTATTTTTAATCCTTCTTATCCAGATTCCATATTAAAAATGCAAATTCTCAATTCAAAAATATTGAGATAATTATAAGAATATAAAATTAAGAAAAAATAAATTCAATATATATATATATATATTTAAATTTATTTCTCAATATATTTTGGAATAAAAGAAATAAAGAATTTCTATTAAATTCATTGAATCTATTATATAATTATATATATATATATTAGTTTTAAGACAAATTCAGGAATGCCCACGAAAGGAATTAGATAATTTTAGATTAGATAATAAACCATTCGAAAGAGGTAAGAATAAGTGAGAATAAGGAATAAGTCATTCGAAAGGATTTAGAGAACTTTAGAATAGGGAATAAATCGTTCGAAATAGATTTCTTCTTTATTCTGAAATTCTCTAGCTCTTTTCGATGGCTTCTTTTTTGATTTCTATTTCTTTATTTTTAATTTCTCTAGCCTCTTTCGAATTATTTGTTCTCGGATTTGAACTATTCTAATTCTTTTCGAATGGTTTGATCCTTATTTTAAATTTCTCTAATCTCTTTCGAATAGTTTGTTCTCTGTTCTGAAATTATCTAGTTCTTTCCGAATGGTTCGTTCTTTATTCTCAATTTCTGTAGTCTCTTTCGAATGGTTTGTTCTCTATTCTGAATTTCTCTATTTCTTGCTTTTTCGAGTGGCTTGTTTCTCGTTTTCAATATCTCTAGTCTCTTTCAGCGAATCTCTATAGACATCCCTTAAGGAGCTTTTTTCAAGAATCTATAGGAAATTCTCTTTCAAGAGCTCTTAAAGGAGCCATTTTCAGAAAATCTAAAAAGCGAGCCAATAAAGGAATCCCCACTTCTCTAGTCTCTTTCGAGTGGTTTGCTCCTTTTTCTGAAATTCTCTAGTTCCTTTCGAATGGCTTGATCCTTATTTTCAATTTCTCTAAGCTCTTTCGAGCGGCTTGTTCCCTGTTCTGAAATTCTCTAATTCTTCCGAATGGCTCGTTCCTTATTTTCAATTTCTATAGTCTCTTTCGAATGGTTTGTTCCCTATTCTGAATTTCTCTATTTCTTGCTCTTTCGAGTGGTTTGTTTCTCTAGTTCCTTTCGAGTGGCTTGCCCCTTATTTCCAATATCTCTAATCTCTTTCAGCGAGTCTCTAAAGAAATCCCTTAAGGAGCTTTTTTCAAGAATCCAGAAAGAAGCTTATAGGGAATTCTCTTTAAAGAGCCCTTATAGGAGTCATTTTCAAAAAATCTAAAAAGCGAGCCAATAAAGGAATCCCCACTTCTCTAGTATCCTTCGAGCGATTTGCTCTCCTTATCTTCAATTTCCCTGCTACTCGACAGGAAACAGAGAAGTTCAGATCAGGGAGCAAACCACTCGAAAAAGACTAGAGAAATCGAAAATAAGGAGCAAACCACTCGAAAAGAGCTAGAGAATTTCAGAACAAGGAGCAAACCGCTCGAAAGAGACTAGAGAAATTGAAAACGAGGAAGTAGAGAAGTTCAGAACAGGGAACAAACCGCTCGAAAGAGACTAGACAAATTAAAAGTAAGGAACAGGCCACTCGAAAGGAACTAGAGAAATTGAAAATAAGGGGAGGGAGCAAGCCGCTCGAAAGAGCAGGAAAAAGAGAAGTTCAGAATAGGGAGCATACAGCTCGAAAGAGACTAGAGAAATTGAAAACAAGGAACAAGTCACTCGAAAGGAACTACAGAAGTTCAGAACAAGGAGACAATCGCTCGAAAGAGACTAGAGAAATTGAAAACGAGGAGCGGGCCACTCGAAAGGAACTAGAGAATTTAAGATCAGGAAGCAAATCGCTCGAAAGAGACTAGAGAAATTGAAAACAAGGAACGGAACAAGCTATTCGAAAGGAACTAGAGAAATTCAGATCAGGGAACAAGTCGCTCGACAGACACTAGAGAAATTCAAAAGAAGGAGCAAGCTACTCGTAAGGAACTAGAGAATTTCAGAACAGGGAGCAAACCGCTCGAAAGAGACCGGAGATATTGAAAATAAGGAGCAAACCAATCGAAAGGAACTAGAGAATTTCAGACAAGGGAGCACACCACTCGAAAGAGACTAGAGAAACAACAAGAAGCAGGCCGCTCGAAAGGAACTAGAAAATTTCAGGCCAGAGAGCAAGCCGCTCGAAAGAGACTAGAATCTCATAAGATAAAAAATCATATATATATAATTCATGAGATATAGAAAATATTATTTGCGAAGAAATTATTTTTTATTTTATATGAAATATCTCAAGATCAATATTTATAATAAATCAGATTTCATTTTATTTATAATATTATAAAAATATGAAATTAATTTAATATCTATCAGAAATTATAATTTCTATCTCATATCTAGTATCTTATGATATAGAAATTACTCTCAATAGCGAATCATCCCTATCTCATAGATAATAACATAAAATTTAGAATGCCTTATATAATATATTAGTCCGTAGTAAATCTTATTCCAATCTCGATGATATTCCAAGATATAGATTTCAAATTATAATATATATTATCTCCTACCTCATGGGAGGTATCCCAAGATGCAGTGCACAATACCCGCAATAAATTATTCTCCTATCTCCTTTTTAGATAAATGAACCCGCACCAAGGCGCCCCTCCCTCATTTACTTGTGGGGCAGAGGCTTTGGGGCCCATCTTTGACCCCTCTCTCTTGGCCCCGAATGACCCTCATGCCCAAGATCGCCTGCGAATCGACAGATCAATACGAGCGCTTTTCTTTGCCGCCGCAAAGCAAGTACGTGCATCAAGATACTACTTGTCGGCATTTTGCAAGGTCAGTGCCGCACATTCCGGAAACAACGCAGCGCGAGACAGACTCCTGCAGCCCAAGCTGCAATCCTCAACACTATTTAAACACCTCCTATCAGAAGAGGGCTTTCGTGAAGGGCTCGAGCGAGCTGCAGGAGCTTGAGAGGTCAGGACTCAGGATCTTCGACTCAAGCACGAGGCACTGGCCGTGGAGCATTTCGGGATGCTGGGCGTCACTTGCTGTGGCGCACAGGCTTCGGGCATCTGCAGGGCACTTAACAGCCTAGCTGCCTGGCTGACTGGAAGTTCCGCCAAAACATGCGAATCGGTAAACCCTTACACCCCACCATCCTCACGCGACAAGTGCCGGTCTAAATCGGCCATCCACATCTCTCTGAACAAGAGTACACATGGCATAACCATCCTCATAACATCTGTGACCTTTCCGAGTCGTGTGAATTCCAGTCCGGAAAGTCTGAGATGCGAACGGCAGATCCCCCCCTTCGCCCGGGCACCATCTGAAGGTACAGCTGCGGATTATCACAGATAGCCACCCTGTGGCCGAAGTGATGCTCATCGGCTTCTGCTTTGCTTTCGTGGCGGGGCTCCCAAGCCGGCCGAGAGATCGCAATTCATGTCCTTTCATGTTGACCAAGAGCCACCCGTCTCAAATCACCAGAAAAGATGTTGAACGTTCAATGTTGAGCGTCTTGGGTGTTTAGAGACTGAACTGTTGAGGTGGAAGGGGCCTCTGGCTTCGGCACTCCTGCAGCCCTCGCGGCACCAATGCTCTACTCCATGGGGCTGGAAGCCGGGTCGAAGAAGTTGCCAGAGGCTGCCCGCACAAGGCACCCAGCACGCGTCGCACCCACAACGCACGATGGAGAATAGGGGTTTCCTATACCTTGTCCATCATACAATCAGTCCTCAAGCCTGGGGCCAAGGCAGTGAGGGGGGGAGACAGTAGACGAGACCCATCTTCACGCCAAGAGGCCTCAAGACCTGGAATGACAAATCCCGAAGAAACGGCCGGACACTCCGACGCTTCCTCTTCTCCGACGCCTCCTGGCAGCAACAAGCTTCGTCAGCCTGGAGTTGCATCCCTCGCGACCAGGCTGGCTAGCAAGCAAAT